ACACACACACACACACACAGGGATCTGGAATGGCACGCCGCCCCCCCAACACACACACACACAGCTACGGCTTAAACCCAGCCAGCCTACAGCTTCACACTGGCCTTTCTTGTGTCTGTGTCCAGCAGGGGGAAATCAGGCCCTCATTCTGTGTAACGTAACACAATGTTGGTAATGTTGGTAGGCCCATGGTTCCAGGATTGCTAACCCATGAAACAAATACACTAGCAAGAGTATACTATGTTCTTTTTTTTTTTGGTCACTTTAACCTCGCGGTCTCCAGCCCGAGTGGTGTTTTCTGGTTATTCAGCTCACTGCTTCTCCTGCACCCCTTCAGTGTGGCTCTCTTATTTATGCCAGTGAGGTTCTGTTACTGTCCGTATTCTATTTGGCAGTAAGTGAAGCATTACTGTGGTGCGAAGTCTGTAACTCCTGCCACCCTCTTCCCGTTTCCCCACTCTGCCCGTTACCACCCAGCGGTAACCAATTTCATTTATTTCTTGCTTAATTCACCCCAAATTTTTTTGCACGAATGAGCAAGTATGTGTATATGTTTTTGTTAACTTTTTTCACATAAAGGATACTACACATATATTTAAATAATCCTGAATTTTGTCCACACATTTGCAGTTTGGACAGGGCTCAGCAGGTTAAGCTCATCTGTGATCCAGACTGTCAGCCAGGATATCTCTCCTGGCACTGGAGGGTCTGCAGAGGTGGCCACGTGGCTGACAGGGGTGCTGACTGCTGGATCCTCTCTGACCAGGCTCTCTGCTGGGCAGTGTGGCTTCTCCCAGCACGGAGGCTGGGCGCCAAGAGCATGCACCCTCAAAGAGACAGGAAGTAGGAGCTGTCAGTTTAAGGCTGGTGGCCCAGAAAGTGGCACCATGTCACTGGCATCACTGCCTCCTCATCCTGTTGGCCAGACCCCCACCACTCATTAAGGGCTGTCAAGAAACTAGCAGACTTTCGTTTTTGAGACGGAGTCTCGCTATGTTTCCCAGGCTAGAGTGCAGCAGCATGTCAGCTCACTGCAGTCTCTGCCTCTCAGGTTTCAGCAATTCTCCCGCCGCAGCCTCCCAGGTACCTGAAACCACAAGTGAACGCCGCCACACCCCGCTCAGTTTTTTTGTATTTTAGTAGAGATGGGGCTTCACCGTTGTTGCCCAGGCTGGTCATGAACTCCTGAGCTCAGGCAGTCCACCAGCCTCAGCCTCCCAAAGTGCTGGGATTACAGGCATGAGCCACCACGCCCAGCCAGGGGCTATCTTAAAACTGCTACAGGTTTCCCATCTCAAATCGCTGCTACTAAATATTACTTCCTTTCTGCTAGGGACACGTAGTTTTGCACCTTGTTTTACTTAACATACTGGGAATCCATCTCATTCCCTGAGCTCTTCCTCATGCGCATGAGCAGTGGCACAGCACCGTCCCTGCACGCTTACTCTGGAGCATTTCAGGTGTTTCAAGTATTTTAATACAATGTTATGATAAATGCTACATACTTAGTTGTATCCTTGCGCATGTGTAACTTACAGGTCCATCTTCAGAGTGAATTCCTAGCAGTGGGTTGTGGGTCCAAAGCCAAGTATAGATGCACAGCTGTGGCTTTTTGAGGTATTGCCAACTCCGCTATAGAGCTGTCACCATGCACGTTCCTTCCAAGCCACACACAGGTGCGTGTTCCACACCTCTTGAGCAGGTGTGTATGGGCAGTCAAATGTCTGCATCGGAGTCAGTATCAGATAAATAGTGGCCAAGTGTTAAGTGTTTTGATGTCAGAATCATTTAGGTAACGTTTATTTTGTAAACCTGTTAATGCATGAGTGGTGTGGACAGCTGTTTGTATTAACCACTGTAGAAAAGAAGGGCTATGTACAAAAGCTATTCAGAAAGGCTGTTCCTGCCGCTACCCTACCTCAAAGATAACAATGGTAATATACATCGATACACAAACTTGTTTCGTTTTCAATAAAATGTATAATGCTGCGATTTAATGAAAAACGCCTCTAGAACACTTGATTCTTAGTCTCTCATTTACCTCAAGCACTCCCGTCCCAGGGGGTTTTGGAGTCTTGCTCTTGCCCAGGCTGCATGCACTATGCTGGCTCACGGCAGCCTTCAACTCCTGCGCTCAAGGGATCTTCCTGCCTGTCTCAAGTAGCTGGGGCTACAGGTGTGTGCCACACCAGGCTAATTTTTGTGTTTTTTGCAAAGATAGTGTATTGCTATGTTTCCCCAGGCTGGTCCTGAACTTTTGGATGGAAGTGATCCTCCTACCTGGGCCTCCCAAAAAGTGTTGGGATTACAGGCGTGTGCTGCTGCGCCTGGCTAATATTTGTATTTTTAGTAGAGACAGGGTTTCATCATGTTGGCCAGGCCGGTCTTGAACTTCTGACCTCAGATGATCCGCCTGCCTTGGCCTCCCAGAGTGCTGGGAGTACAGGTGTGAGCCACCATGCCTGGCCGTCCAGCTGGTTTCAGTGAGTTCAGCCAGTGCCGTCTGTGGCGACACGTGTGGTTGGCTTTGTTGTGTGCTAGGTCTGATGGGAAGCAGGGGATCCACTGAGCTCTGCAAAGTGCCCGAACGCCACGGGTGTCTGTGATGAAGGACAAACAGCGAACACAGTTGCTCTAAAACAAAAACAATTCGCTTGACCCGTTGATCTCAGACTATTCTGAGGTGAAATTACATAAAGAATTCTGACATCCTGCCATCCACTGTCTCCAGTTGTAAGACAGAGATGACTGCTTCCGAGGTAGGATCAACGAAGATGTGTACAAATCAGTGTTAGATTCAACACCCAAACTAAGCGCGGAAAGGTGAAACATCAAGGCAGCAGCCTTTCTAAGCAGCTTGCTGTAGGAAAGATAAAGAATGTCAAAGTAGGGACCAGTCCTGGTTTAATCAAGAAGCTCTTACGACGTTTGATTTTAAACCATATGTAAATACAGTAATCTGAAGGATTTGGCAAAGGTTTATTATTTGTCATTTCCAGTCTTTTAAAGTAGACAGAGATTTGCTTAGAATACAGCTGATTTTAAAAGCACACAAAAGTTGAGCAGAGAGCATTAAATTCACCAGTGCAGAGTGATGATAGAGGAAAAGACACTGAGCAGGTGCTTCGGCAGAAACTGATCATCCCAGGTGACTACCTTACAGTCGGGGACTTCATTCCTTATGCTGCAAAAGTAAGAGTTTAGCGTATGACCTTTACAGTTGAGTCTGTAGCTCTATCTTGGTTTATTACAAACAATTAGCATAGATACGCATAATCTTTAGTAGACAACCTGCATCTATTTAAATTAAATACTTTCTACAATAGTGTGATAACATAAGGCCACAATATTTATTGTGGGACAAACCCCTTAAAGTAGCGATTTTATTATCAATGTTCTTCATTATTTTGAAATATAAAGTACTTTAACGGAATTAAGGTTACAGATAATTTTTAAAATACAACATACATCATAACTAGTATATTAAAATTATTTATATTCAGAATTTCTATCTAATATCCAATGAAAATTCACTACCAAATTTTTACAGTAATCAGTCTGACATGCGTATTAATTGATCCCATAGGTATAATTATAGATCAACATTTTAGTGTCTATTCTTTCGTTTTACTAAATTAGGAACGCAGCATGTACAGAACAAATAAACACAAGTGGCACGCCCGAGGATTGAACAGCTCTTCAGTGAGCTACGCTGCAAACTCAGAAGTAATCCCACTAACGAGCAAAGCCAGACTCCAGTTCTTCATCAAAAGGTGCTGGTGGAGGTTGTCAGACGCCTTCCAATATAGATCCTTAACAGAAAAAGGAATCAGTAGTTAACGTAGCTTGTGATTCGCAGGAGACTGTCATCTGAAACGGTAGCTCGCTGTGGTTAGCGCTTATCCAAGGGACTGGCGATTTTATACCCATCATAAAAAATTTTGTCATGAATCTATCTATAATTTTTTATCTAGTGTTTTATCAATATGTATTTTGTATTAATTTAGAAAACATCAAACTATTACATAGGATCACCAAACTGAAATGCCGTTTCCAGACAGAAAGCTTCTGCTTCGATCCAACTCAGTGCTGACGGAAGTCACCCCCCCCCCCCCCCCCAGGCAAGATGGTGTTGCCTGTTCACCACCACCAGCCTCACCAAGGCCAACCGCTGAAGACTGAAGGCCCTGCCCTTACTTGTTTAGGTTTGGTGGTGGGGCAATATGTCCCAAACTAAAGATGTTAATGACACCTGTTAATAAATGGGAGTGGGAGTGTCAGAAAAGGCTTCTCAGCAAGAGAGGCTCGCTCCGGCTGACCAGTGGGCATCACTCCGGGAGGGAGGAGGGCGGGCCTCCCGGAAAGAAGGCAGAGTAGGAACCTGGCTGGCTGGCCTCTGGGCAGTGGTGAGTACTGTGGACACAGACCATGCTGCAGCAGCAGCTTTCTGGGGCAGATTTTATCGTGTGGTTCCAGAAAGCCGCTGAGGTATGGGTCGCCAGTGGCAGCATCAGGCTCTGGAAACCTGGGCAGGACGAAGGTCACTAGCTGGGAAGCAGTGGCTGCAGAAATCCATCCCGAAATGGAGGCCTAAACCTGGCATTTAAAATGAGGATTACAGCCGGGCGCGGTGGCTCAAGCCTGTAATCCCAGCACTTTGGGAGGCCGAGGCGGGTGGATCACGAGGTCAAGAGATCGAGACCATCCTGGTCAACATGGTGAAACCCCGTCTCTACCAAAAATACAAAAAATTAGCTGGGCATGGTGGTGCGTGCCTGTAATCCCAGCTACTCAGGAGGCTGAGGCAGGAGAATTGCCTGAACCCAGGAGGCGGAGGTTGCAGTGAGCCGAGATCGCGCCATTGCACTCCAGCCTGGGTAACAAGAGCGAAACTCCGTCTCAAAAAAAAAAAAAAAAAAAAAAAAAAAAGGATTACTAGGCCTTGCGCCCAGAGTCTGCTTGACAATTCTGGAAAAGGCTCCAGAAAGCAAACTGCCTGCTGATGCTGATGCAGTCTGTGGGTTTGACTCCAAAAGCACCAGCCAAAATAGAGGCGACAGGGTGGACGTGGGAATGTGCGCAGGAGCTGGGAGAAAGCCGTGCACGTGGATGGCGAGGTGGGGACACAGGCAGCACTGAGGTCCTGGCCCAGGAAACAGTGGCTTCTATCCTGTTTCCTTTCACCCAGACGTGAGCCCTCGGGCCAACCCAAGCCACGTGGCCAGGAGCATTCCAGTCTGTCCACTACACAGCAGCCACAGAACACTGCGTGTCAGGACTGGTGGGAACCCTCCCCCACGCTGAGATGCTGGGACCAGACCGAGGAGGAACAGTTTTTGGCTTCCTGCTCTGGCTCTTCAGAATCCACAGCAGCACCTGCCTGGCCTCTCTCTGTGTTTTCTGCAAAGTTAGTATAAGAAGCCAGAAAAGGCCAGGCGCAGTGGCTCACGCCTGTAATCCCAGCACTTGAGTTTGAGATCAGCCTGGGCAACATGGAAAAACCTCGTCTCTACTAAAAATACAAAAATTAGCAAGGCGTGGTGGTGGCAGGCACCAGTAATCCCAGCTCCTCAAGAGGCTGAGGCAGGAGGGTCGCTTGAACCTGGGAAGCAGAGATTGCAGTGAACCGAGATCGTGCCACTGCACTCCAGCCTGGACAATGACAGCCAATTAAGCCAGAAAAATCGGAGACCCGCTGGTTCCTTTATTGCTGAGAGTGAAATAGAACAGGTCCTGTCCCGGAGGAGATACAGCAAGTCACTGAGACCCTTCCTCTACCGCAGACAGCTGGGTGCATTCGCACCACGCAGTGCCACGCAGAAATGAGGCTGCCTTCAACTACGCACAAGATGAACAAGTCAGGCACAAGAATCCCTGCTTTGACTCCAGTTCTATCAAGTGAACAACAGGCAGACTTCCCGAGCCAGACAGCACTCGGCGCCTGTGCTGGGGTCTTCTGGGGCATTGGAGGCTGGTGGTTTCTTCACCTGAACAGGGACTGCATGAGTGTTTGTGAAAATGCGCCAAGCTTTAACTGATGCTCTGTCCTTCAGTAAATCGTCTACATAAATCACCCCACAACATGCCATGGCAGAAGTCACACACAGTCACGTTACCTACCCCAATCCAATGGCCAGCAAATGAGACAGCAGCAGAGACGGAAGAAAAACCTTCAGAAATTCTGCAGAGAAGATGCCCCCTTTCTTCATGACGCTCGTGTTCCTCATGCTGAGGGTGGCCGTGCGCTTCGGGTGTTTAAAGAGGAACTCCCTGAGGCGGAAGGTAACATGTCAGCTCATGTGTCCTCTGTCAAGGGGAGACCCCTCGACACAAAAAACACACTCACTTGGGGGGAATATTTTCCGGCCGACTTGACCAATCCCATATCCAGTCTGAGTTTTTCTTCAAGATGCTTTCAACTTCTTTCCTTCTCTCAATATAATCTTCCTCGGACTACGACAAAGTAAATGTTAAGTGCAGATTAATCTATCACATTACACCGGAAAACACCCACCTCCCGCCCAAGCTTCAGATCTGCAGGCTCGACTCAGGAGCCCAGCAGCGCATGTCGCTGCTATGGACCGTGGTCCGTGGAGAGTCCTGGGGCTGGGGCCTTCACCAGCGCCACCGCACTGCCGGCTCTCGGCAGGGTCTCCTCCAGGGACAGCCCACCGCTCTCGGGTCCCACCCAGGCCGTGAATACATGTGGTTCACTGAGACTCGGGGGTTACTGACGGCGGCAACCACTGTCCTAAGGAAGTTGTGACATGAGGGCAAAGGTGGTGAGTGCAGCACTGGTAATAACAAGAAAATGGCTCCAAACAGGGACATGTCGGAGGAAGCAGAGCAAGTTTACAAGATGCTTCTGGGATGAGCAGTTGGGAAAAGGCAAAAATGGACATGTAAACATGCTGGCACCAGAGGGCCAGCTACTAATCCGGACTGTAAGGCTGGGATTCCTCACAAAGCTTTCAGAGTGCAGAAAACACCCATCGTTTATGTCCTCACCATCCACACACACCCAAGAAAACAACATATCGTGCATCTCATCTGCAACAAGGCAAGGCACTGCCAGATACAACTTGGCAAGACGCTACTGATCCCCACCTCAAGCCCCATCTGGCAGGGGTAGGAAGGGAGAATGACGGTGAACAAAGGCACTAGCCCCAGGTACACTTTTTCCTCCCAAGACTTTCACTTTCAGAAGGGTTTCTGCCCTCACAGCAATGCTGAATGCAGTACACTATGGGAAGCCCATTACTTGGTTAACAGAAAAGTGATCGTAGGCTGGACAAGGTCTCTCACACCTATAATCCTAGTACTGTGGGAGGATCACTTGAGCCCTGTAGTTCACGACCAGCCTGGGCAACACAGGGAGACCCCGTCTCTACAAAAAGTTTCTTTAAAAAGAAGAAAAGTGACCTGACATGAAATTACCAGGCTGATTAGCCACTAATGTCACGCTGCGCAGGCAGCAAGCAGTGAGCTCAGGACTGAGTCCTGACTCGCACACAGCATGCAAATATTAAGCCCACTCTCTGTCCAACTAGTAACCACGAGGGAAGACCAGCCAGTAGCTGGCCCAGCACCACCCTTTTCCAATGGTCGCTTCGTCCGCTACAGGCTGCAGACACCAGGAGCCCTTCCTCCTTTCCAGCATATCCCTGATGGCGAGCAGGGCGGAGTCCACGCGGCCTGTCCCACTCAGCACCTCCTCAGCTCAGCTGTGTCAAGCACGTGTGCCGTGTATGTCCCCACCACGGGCTTTTTTAAAAAAGGCAGGAGGCACCCTTAAAGCCCGACTTTTCTCTGACATACTCAATTACATTTAAAACTGTTCATTTACTGTACAAACGGCTCACAAATAAACTGCATTCTCCTTCCTGCTTACCTGTGAGCTGTTCTTCTCTCCAATGCTGTGGGTATCTGTTTCTGAAGCTCTGTTAGTATCTTGCGGTGTCTGTGAGCGAGGTGGGCTTGGCAAAGTGAATAAAATGGAAAAACAGAACATCATGTGAACACTCTATCATCAGAAGCTCAAACTCCAAGGCGGGAACCACCTCCAAGATGAGGGGCCCAGCCAGCTGGCGTGCACACCTTCCCTTCCAGCCAGCACCAGCCACAGCCAAACCGTTCCTCAGCCTTTTCAGCTGAGCATGACGGGAGTCAGCTAGCCAGTCTTCCAGAGAAGAGGTGGGGACAGCTGGTGAGAGGCTGGCTTTGTCATCTGCTACCTTCATGGTCTGCTGCACAGCTCTCAAGGGCACGCAACCTTTGATCACTGTCAGCCTCTCTGCCTTGGAGTCACTCAGAAGCGCTGCTACCCAGGAAGTGCTCCCTGTAACCACAGCCCCGCTGAGGCGCATGAGTGCGTTTCTCAGAGTGAGGTTGGTGGCTGTCACGCTCACTCCTGACTCGAGCATGGCCCCCACAGACTAAGGCCCAGGTCACTTCCTCCCCGTAGAGGGCAAGGCCCCTACATAAGGCCGGACTGCAGCAGGAGCCACCCCCGAACGCGGCCTGAGGGGAGCAGCAGCCCAGGCCTAGAGGTGACACAGGCACTTCCAGCTGCGACTGTGACCTACTGAAGACGTTGGCACTGAAATGCATACACTTGTTGATGTGTACCTACCTGTCACAGTGAGAACTCTTGGAGCTACTCCGGCCAGACTCATGCTGGGCATCCAGCAGTATTTTTTCCATGTCACCATTATAAATAGAAACCGAGGCTGGAACGCTGCTCCCGTTCCCATTATTGCTAAAGTGCAATTCTACCCAGGAGCCTGGTGGGGACAAAAAAGGGGCACAGCTGGACTTTCTACGCATTCTGGAATCTGGTCGTCGTATCTAACCAGCCCGCGCTTCCATCTCCAAGAGGTAGCAATGGTGACACCCGGATCCATCCCTTAAACCCCGATGAAGGCATCCCTCTGCCCGCCTGCGTGGCAGTGACTGGTCTACGTACGCTCTCCCTGGGTACAGAAGGAAGCCCCCTGGGGTTGAGACCACGTATCTGTCCATCTCTCACGGTCCCTTTATACCAAGCCAATGTCCAATAACTGTGCCAAGTCACCAGAATCCAATTAGAATACTTCTTACAGTGAACTTTTTATAAGAAACAGCCTGCCGGGGTGTGGTGGCTTACGCCTGTAATCCCAACACTTTGGGAGGCTGAGGCAGGTGGATCACCTGAGGTCAGTTGGAGACCACCTGACCAACATGGACAAACCCCAGGGTTTGTATTTCTCTACTAAAAATACAAAATTAGCCAGGTGTGGTGGTGGTGCACGCCTGTAATCCCAGCTACTCAGGAGGCTGAGGCAGGAGAATCGCTTGAATCCAGGAGGTGGAGGTTGCAGTGAGCCGAGATTGCGCCATTGCACTCCAGCCTGGGCAAGAAGAGTGAGACTCCATGTCAAAAAAAAAAAGGTAATGTCAACATAAGCTTAAAGGATTTAAATTTTTCTTTCAAAGGTTTAAATTATCTCTATTTTTTGTTTCTTTTAGAGACAGGGTCTCGCTTTGTCGTCAAGGCTGGAGTGCAGTGGCACAATCAAGGCTCACTATAATCTCAAACTCCTGGGTTCAGGCCATCCTCTAGCCAATGCCTCCAGAATAACTGGGACTACAGGCATGTACCACTACCCGTGGCTATTTTTTTTTAAGAGACGGGGTCTCGCTATGTTGCCCAGGCTAGTCTCGAACTTCTGGACCCAAGCGATCCTCCCAGCTCGGATTGTGCTGGGATTACAGGCGTGAGCCACCATGCCCAGCCTCTGTTACTTGTATTGTGTGGCTCTGCATTTATTTCATTTCTAAAGAGGTGGAACACGTTTTTACCAGTTTACTAGCCATCTGGATAGCATTGTTTTTGAACTGTTCTTCAGATCTCTTTATTCTTTTCTATTATCTGTGCTTCTCTTATTTGTGGGCATCCAGCAGTATTTTTCCATGTCATCATTATAAATAGAAACTGAGGCTGGAACACTGCTCCTGTTCCCATTATGGCTCAAGTGCAATAATTCTAGGATAATCCTGTATCCTAGACATACGTTTTTCTTCATTTAAATACATTGCAAGTAACTTTCACTCAGCAGCACATACTTTTCTCATGTCTTCTGATGTACAAGTTCTAGAGATTTTAATTCAGTCAAATTTAGCAATCCTTCCTGAGCTGAGATATTCTATTCTGTGACTTTCACACAGCTCTGTTACGACATTCACATTTAGATCGAGAATCTACATGGATTAATTTTTCCATTGATGTGAAACGAATGCCCCACTTACTGCAGACAGCTCCTGCCTCACCCCTGCTCTGGGCTGCTTCCTTTGTCAGAAATCAAGCGTGCATATATGCACAGGTCTATTTCTGCGCCCAGGACAGTTTTTCTACTTTGTGCCATAGGTTTATTTATTTAAAGCAACTCTGCTAAAAGCCTCCTCTGGTAGCATATGGAGGGTGGAGTGCCGGAGGAGGAACGTGCAGGCAGACCACGAAAGCCTGAGAAACTTACATGCGAGAACAATGGAACGATCTCATTTTGCAGTCACTATAATTTTATTAAGTAGAATAATCACCGTGAGCTGCTGACTGTCCTTAAACCAACACAGCACTACATGACACCATGCCACTGGGGGAAGGGAGTAGCCTGTGAATCCATCACGTTCTCTGGAAGCAAAGGCAGGTGCACAGCTTTCCATGCACTAACTAGGCATCTCCTGAAAGAGGCCTGGCCCAGCCTCAATACGCCACTTGTTGCAGAGTGTATTTCATATTAACCAGAAAAAAAGCAAAGCGAAGGCCCAGGAGGGAAATGTGGATCTGCAACTTACACCATCAACAGCCTCCCAGTAAGCTGCTAACAAATGATCCCGGATTTTCAAATGAATGCATGATCCTTCTCTTTGGCCTCTCACGTTGCCTCAGGTCCTGGCCCACACGAAGTACATCGCTAATACAAAGGCAGGCCTGGGTCTGTCTTGGAGCCCACTGGAGAAGGGCCCAGGCTACTTGGCCCCACACTCTGGCAGAGGCTACACAGTGCCATCAGAGATGTACACATCACACCATTCCTGAAACTGCTCATCTCACTAGTATTTCCAGATACTCTGATGTTCACTAGCCCTCCTTCCCTCTCTGGGGTTCATGATGACATGCGGCTGGCTGGCAATGGCCTGTGATCCTCAGAGAACAGCACCACAGCCTCTGCTTTGGCCAGCTGTTTTTCTAGGCTCAATCTACAGCACTCAGATTCTGGGCCTGCTTCAATTTACTTGGCTAAGGTAAAGTGTTATTCATCTTACGACATGGAACACAAATGGAACTTCAAGGTGTGGTGTCTCTTCCACGATGCCACTCTTAACATCAAATGTGGTACCAGTCACCACCACCACTGGGGTGTCCAACAGTTCAATTCCATTCTATCTACCTAGAGTTAGTGTCAGAACCCATGAGATTAAAGGCTCAGTCCTACAAAACTGTTCCCACAGAATGCAAGCTGAAAATGGGGTGTCCAGGTTACCCACAAATCTACCCGTCCCCTCTACTCAGGGGATCCCACACACCCCCTCAGTTTCAACAATTTGCTACAACCCACAGAATCCAGAAAAACACTTTACTTACATTTATCAATTTACCGGAAACAATAACTCTGGAGCAGCCAAATGGAAATGACATACAGACCAGAACCCCAGCTACCCCAAATGTCCAAACCCTAAGCCCTAAACCCAACCCTAACCTTACCCCAACCCCACCTAACCTTACCCTAACCCTAAATGTCCCAGCAAACCCTAACTCTAACCCAAAACTAACCCTAACTATGCTCTTCACGACCAGACCCTCAGCCGCTCCACATGTCCCAACCCTAACCACGCTCTCCGCACCTCATATGGCTCCAGAATGTCTACAACTCCATCTCCAGTCCTCTCCTCCTAGGAGGGGTGACCCTGGGACTTTCTACCTCAATTAACTATCCGAGGGCTGCCCTTGAGCCACCTGATTGACAGCTATTCTGAAGGGGCTCCTTACAACTTACACTAAAAATGGCTAAGCAAGGAGCACTTCTGGAGCACGCTGCTAATAAGGTGGCTTTATGAATAACAAATACTGGCTAGGCTGCTCTGCCTGTGGAGTCGCCACCCTTTTACTCCTCTGCTTTCTCAACAAACGTGCTTAAGACACTTGCCAGGTGCAGTGGTGCATGCCTGTAATCCCAACACTTTGGGAGGCCAAGGCAGATGGATCACCTGAGGCCTGGAGTTCAAGACCAGCCTGACCAACTTCTCTACTAAAAATACAAAAATTAGCTGGGCGTGGTGGTGCACACCTGTAATCCCAGCTACCCAGGAAGCTGAGGCAGGAGAACCCCTTGAACCTGGGAGGTGGAGGTTGCAGTGAGCTGAGATCATACCACTAAACTCCAGCCTGGGCAACAAGAGTGAAACTTTGTCTTAAAAAAAAAAAAAAAATCTTACTGCTCAGGAAGTCCCAGGGGGTTAGGTGCTCTGCATCAGAAACTAGGGTCAAGGATAAACATATACTACATTGATCTTACAGGGGAAAAGTGAAGACCACACTGAGAGGAAGATGACTTGGAGACAGTGTATCTCTGTCTTCATCTGTCTATGCCACTGTAACAGAATCCCAGTCTAAGTGATTTACAAACAGAAATTGATCTCCGTTCTGAAGGCTGGGAAGTTCAAGGTCAAGGCAACAGCAACTGGTATCAGGTAAGGGCCTCCTGCCCCATCCCTTCAATGAGGGCAAAGAGGCACCCACCTCCCTCCATCCAGCCCCTTAGAGCGCTATCCCGTTCACAAGAGAGGAGCCCCCGTGGCCTAAGCACCTCTTAAAAGCCCACCTTTACTATCATCCCACTGGCAACATGGGAGGGGACACATTCAAACCAAAGCAGTGCTTTTAAAAAATCGCCCCAGAGTCCTACGCATCCTGGAGACAAGGAAAAAAACCATTCCACACTGTCCGTGGCTAGTGGCTTTGGGCCCAAAAGCTGTATTCCTAGGAATTATTTACCAAGCGAGAGGAGTTTTATTATCTACCTACAGCAGCCAGGTAGGAAAGGCACTTCCTGGAGAGCAGAGTACACTGTGAATCTACTCAAATGTTACAATTCTCTAATCTCATCATTCACCTTTTCAAACAAAGATGGGGATTAAGGTTGCTTAATGATCTTTAAAAACTTGCTCACGGCAGGGCGCGGTGGCTCACGCCTATAATCCCAGCACTTTGGGAGGCTGAGGCAGGCGGATCATGAGATCAAGACCATGCTGGCTACCACAGCAAAACCCCGTCTACTAAAAATACAAAAAACGAGCCACGCATGGTGGCACATGCCTGTAATCCGAACTACTCAGGAGGCTCAGGCAGGAGAATCACTTGAACCCAGGAGGTGGAGGCTGAAGTGGGCCAAGATGGTGCCACACTGCGCTCCAGCAGTGTAGAGACTGTCTCAAAAAGAAAAAAGAAAACTTGCTCATAATCTCAAGTACTTTACTTCAAATAACTGTAGTAAAATCAGGCCCCATAAAAAAAGGTGCTGCTGTTGCTGATGCAAGAAAAGCCCTCATTCCTTTTATTTTTGAGACAGAGTTTTTCTTGTCACCCAGGCTGCAGTACCACAGCCTGGTCTTGGCTCACAGCAACCTCTGCCTCCTGGGTTCAGGCAGTTCTCCAGCCTCAGCCTCCCAAGTAGCTGGGAGTACAGGCACCCACCACCACGCCCAGCTAATTTTTGTATTTTTAGTACAAACAGGGTCTCACCATGTTGGCCAGGCTGGTCTGGAACTCCTGACCTCAGGTGATCCTCCGCCCTGGCCTCCCAAAGTGCCATGATTACAGGTGTGAGCCACCACGCCCAGTCGAAAGCCCCATCCCTAATCTCATTCCCATTCCTCTCCTTATGTTCCTCCCCCCTCACAGCTTCCACTGCTAACAAGACACACAGGGAGTTAATCTTACCTCCCTCCTAGCAAGGCAGATGAGATTTTGAAAAGCCTAGACTATAAATATTTACATCACATTACAAAAAGGAAGCTGATAGGTCTGCCTCAGAGACATAATACAATCCAACAAGAGTTCTTAATCCATTGCTTACTCTAACTTTGTGGTTTAAGTCATCTGACGTCCAGCTTCTCTAGGTGCCCAAAGCAGTTCTCTCTATAGTGACAGACTCCAGGGAATCCCTTAGATTCACTGCCCTCTGTATGTCCCAGGGCAAACTCCCTAGCTGCACTCAACATGGATTCGCCGGCTGCAGCCAGGAGCCCCACCTGGAGTAAACACAGGGCCAGTCCTCAAGGCCATCCTCTGCCCTAATCTGGGTGACAGTCTCAACTCTGACTATGAAGGGAGAACCACCTGTGCTGTTTTTTCATTGTTCTCCAAAAGCCCAGCCGCAGCCCACTCTGGAAGTGACTATTTGGGATGCTAGGGTGGAATTCAGGCAAATACACTGAAAGCTCTTGGATAAATGTCAGAGGAGAGGGAGGCAGCATCCCAGAAAAAAAAGCCCGAAGCAGAGAAGCTGTCAACTCCAGAGGGAACTGGCACTCCCAAAACCATATAAAGGGCTTCTTCCCCAGGGGAAGTGGGCTCTAAGAAATTGCTGTTTTATGGGCCAGGCTCCATGGCTATTCCAGCACTTTGGGAGGCAGAGGATCATGAGGTCAGGAGATCCGAGACCATCCTGGCTAACATGGTGAAATCCCATCTCTACTAAACATACAAAAACTTAGCCAGGTGTGGTAGCACGCACCTGTAGTCCCAGCTACTTGGGAGGCTGAGGCAGGAGAATCACTTGAACCCGGGAGGTTGCAGTGAGCAGAGATCATGCCACTGCACTTCAGCCTGGGAGACAGAGTGAACACTCCATCTCAAAATTAAAAAAAAAAAAAGGAAAGTGCTGTTGTTTTTACCTTTAAAAGCTTCGCAGGTTAGTGGGGAGAGGAACAAAAGAGACTTCCCTGGCAAAAGACTTCAAGCCTCAAGTCAGCCTGGCAGGTAAATCAGGTCCCTGGCTGCTGACAGGGCTCGACCTTCCTCCCGCCAGGCCGGAGGACCGTGGCTAAGCATCAGCCTCAGGCAATCTGGGCTCCATCCCTCTGGTGCTTCATGCAGAGTCCTTGGCTTTTCCTTAACTGTTGCTGGCATTATTTTTCACTCCACCTCTAGAACCTCACTGTGACCATCGTCTTGGATGAGAATCTAGATGTATGCAACCCCTTCAGGTCTAAAACTGCACAATGCTACAATTCCCCTCCGAAATAGCTCTGCCCATGGTGAGTTGCTTCTGATAAGAGAACCATCTGCCAGTGCACACACAGCAGTGGGTGAAGAAGTAAGGGCCTGGATCATTAAACACAGCCGCTCCAGAGTGAATGGGCAAACGCTTTACTGAACTGATGCCCTCCCGAAGACAGTGCGTCCTTCGGAAGGGATGCCCCCACCCCACAACCCTGGCGGCCTCATCACAGAATCCTACCGCTCCTGCATTGTAGCAGTGGCATGTCTAGGGGAAAACGGCCAAGTTTAAGGCTGCAGTGAGCTCCAGTGATTGTGCTACCAGCCTTGGCAACGGAGTAGGGAGTAAAAAGAACACATATGAGCATCTTGCTAGTCAACAACTTTAGCTAAAATCATCAAGAGATAGAAGGGACAGAACCAGCCCATCTGCTGTTAGCTCCTCAGGGAAAGCCGCTGGCCCCAGAGGGTACAAGCAGAGAGCGTTTGCTGCCTCCATCTGTGGGTCTGGCCACAGGGCTCCCACGCTTCTCTGCTCCGAGGTAAACAAGAAGCAGATAAATCAGACCAGACAGGGGTGACTGCTGCCTGAGCCACAGCTCCGCGCAGGATTTGAAGGCGGCTGGAGCCCGCGGGACCCGCCGACCCCGCCCACGCGGATCCCACGGTGGCCCCATTCTGCCGCGCAGACACCCAGGACGGCCCAAGGAATCGCCAACCTGGGTTCCACCCCACGCGTTAAGTATCTTATTGCAGAATAAACAAAACAGAAAAACAAAAATCTAACTCCAGCGCTGGCCGTCTTGCACTGCCAATGACTCAGCAGCCTACTTAAGTTACAGACTGGAGAGGAACAAGCCCCTCCAGAGCCCCCTCCACCTCCCAGTGCCCAGATCCCAGCCAGACAAACAAACATACCATGTTATTGGTAACTCAGCTTCACAACCGGAAAAAGGGTGATTTTACGGCAAAGGAAACATCTCTTGGATTTTATTTTATGACAAAAGACAGGAAAACACCCCTTAATCTATTTCAAAATAGTAATTAGCCAATGTTTAATTATCATGAGGAAAAATCCAAAATTTCAGGATTTTAAAAAATACGGTTCTAGGCCGAGGCGGGAGGATCACTTGAGCCCAGTTCAGACAAGCCCGGGCAACATAGTGAGATTTCATCTCTTAAAAAAAAAAAAATTTTTTTTAATATGGTAGTGTTCAAACATACATAAATTATTGAATAATATTATGGAAACTAAGTTCTGCCTAGTAAAATCTTGTTTTTGTAATAAAGTTAGCAACTCTATGTAAATACCTGATTCTCAAAACTGTTCATGAAGATTAAAAGTTCACTGGCAGAGGTTTCAGCAGTCCTTTCCCAAGCTTATTTACTTGCTCATTTTGCTTTGTAAACTCTGGCTTCAGAGAACACAAAGGTCAGCTGCCACCAGGTCCCTCCTCCGAGGCCTGGGCCCTAGGGACCCTGGGAAGGCAGCTTCTGGGCCCGCTTCCCTGAGCAAAGGCTCGTCTGGGCTCTGCACGCGGATTCACCGGGTGGGGAGGGTCTCCATGCCACCTGGCTGTGCGCGGGCCAGGTCCTGCCCCCGGGGCCTGCGATTCCCGCTGCGTGAACCGGTGGTACTGTGAATCTAGCCAAGGGCACACAGCAGGCCTCTACGGGCCGGGCCGGGCCGGCATTAAGCAGGCTGTAACGACTGGGTGCTCTAAAGGCGGCGTCCTTTTGTGATTTTTAACCCGTAGGTCATTTAAAGCTTTGTTTTGGAAGGATCCTCTAGGAGAATCGGAACAAGTCCATTTAATGCCATAATCTAAAAAGGCTGTAACCCCCACCCATTTAACTTCAGGAAATCCTAACAGTCACCACGGACTTGAGCAGTAGTAACAAAATTAAAGCACTTAAAAGTCCACTTGCCGCGCCTTGGTGTTTACTCATTAAAACCAATGCTAGGGCGGGCGTGGTGGGTCACGCCTGTAATCCTAGCGCTTTGGGAGGCCGAGGCGGGTGGATCACCAGGCCAGAAGATCGTGACCATCCCGACTAATAAGGTGAAACCTCGTCTGCTCAACATGCCAAAAATTAGCCGGGCGTGGTGGTGGGCGCCTGTGGTCCCAGACACTCGGGAGGCTGAGGCAGGGGAGTCGCTCGAACCCCGGGGGCGAAGGTTGCAGTGAGCCGAGGTCGCGCCCCCGCGCTCCAGCCTGGGCCACAGAGCGACACTCCGTCCCGAAAGTAAATAAATAAAACCAACGCTGGGCTGAACCGCAGGCCGCGGAGGGCAACGCGGCCCAGCTGGGAGACGCAGACCCACCTCCAGGTGGGGTTCCCGCGACCGCGGAGCTGGAGATCGGGGCTTTCCCGCGCGGTGCGACCCGGGTCGCCCGAGCGGCGAGGCCGCGAACCCCGAGCAGCAACGCGGGGTCCCCACGCCCCGGGCCCCGCACGCCCGCCGGACGCGGGGCACGGGAGGGCATGCCCCAGGCCTCCTCTCGGCCTCCCCTCGGCGCGCCCCGGCCTACCCCCCAACCTCCCCTCGGCGCCCCCGTCCTCCCCTCGGGCCCCCGAGGCTCCCCTGGCCTTCCTCCAGGCTTCCCCCGGCCCCCCGGCTCCCGCGCGGCCTCCCCGGCCTCACCCTGCAGGCTCTCCTCCTGCATCCCCGGCGCTCCGGTCTGCGACATGACGCCGGCGGGCGGCTGCGGCGATCAGAGTCCGCGCCGGGCTGCGGGTGCGGGGTGCGGGCTGCGGGTGCGGGGTGCGGGGTGCGGGGTGCTCGCAGGCGGCGGGCGCTGGGAAAGCGGGAACGGGAACGCCCCGGCCCCGCGCTCGGTGACTGAGCCGAGCCCCGCCGCGCGGCCACAGGAGCTCACCGGTGGGGCGGGGCCGGGCGGATCTGCGGCCGCGACGCCCATTGGCCGCGGCGCGGGGCCTGCGCGTGCGCAGGGGCGTGCGGTGCGTGCGGCACGTGTGGCGCGTGCGCGGGGCGGGTCCTGGGCCGGGCGAGGGGCGGGGACCGCGGTGCGCGGGCCGCAGGCGGAGAGGGCGGGGCGCAGGGCGCGCGGACGCGGGGGCGCGCGAGGCCGCCTGGGGTAGCCCGGCCGGGCCGCGTGACGAGGGGGCTGCGGGGTCGCCGCCGTGGCAGGCGGTGGGCCGGGTCTTCTTTTACAGGGGCGGTGGGACCGGCGGTCGCGGTAGGCACTGGCTGCACGGCGGCGCTGCCGCCACGCTTCGGGGCGGGGCGGGTCTCTCCGGCCGGCGTCTGGGGAAACTGAGGCGCGGGGAGAGCGGCGTCTGTGCGGGGGGCGTGAGGACGTGCGGGGGCGCAGCTGCTGCGGTTCCGGGGCGGCGCGTGGGGCCGTGGGCCGGGGCCGAGCGTCTCGGAACCGGGCCGCGGTCCAGGCCGCGCCCCCGGGTCTCTGCCCGCCCGGCCGGGGCGCGCCTGCTTGAACAGCGGGGCCCCTTGTGTCTGGGGGCGTCCGCTTACAAGAGGCAGCGGAGGCTCCAGTGGGGCGGAAGATCCGCCCGGGGGAGACGCGGCGAGGGGTTTCCAGGGACGGGGCCCCGGGGCGGGCCGGGCCTCCGCGGGTCTCGGGGCGCAGTGGCGCCGGGCGGTGCGTGCCAGGCTTGGGGAGCCGGCCTGGCGGCCTCGGGCCCGGGGGACACGCGCGCTCTGCAGAGGAACGTCTCGTTTCCCGCTCTTTTTCAAGAGCCTGTCTTCTCGGAAGCATTGATGATCCGAATCCAAGTGTCACGTTGCGCCCCAGAAACACTCCTTCCCAGGCAGCCGCGTCGGGCCCTGCGGGGAAGGAGGCGCCCCACCAGCGAACCGCGGGCGTCAGGTGCTCAGAAACGGAACCGGGCACCGAGCTGCGAAACCAGACCTCCGCCCTGCGTGGATTTCATCGCAGCTCTTGCCCGTTGAATCGTCTCGGGTATTTGAACTGCCATGATTTTGGTTTTCTCAGAAGCAAAACACATCCAGAGGCCAGCGTGGGAAACAGGCCTTTCATCCCAGCACCTGGGGAGGCCGAGGCAGGAGGATCGCTTTAGCCCAGGACTTGGAGACTAGTCTCGGCAACATGGCGAGACCCCTTCACTACTAAAAAAAAAAAAAAATCTGGGTGTCGTGGTACCTGCTGTGGGAGGATCGCTTGAGCCCAGGAGGTGGAGGCTACAGTGAGCCATGATCGGGCCACTGCACTCCGGCCTGAGCAACGGTCTCAAAATAAAAGGAAAACAGCCAGAGATACACAGCATTAATATTTTCAGTAGTAGAACTATAATGCTGGCCAGGCAGTACCTCTTGCTTTAATTCCAGCATTTGGGGGAAGCCAAGGCAGTAGGATCACTTGAGCCTGAGAGTTCAAGACCAACCTGGCCAACACGGAAAGATTCCATCTCTATTAAAACAAAAATGTTACCAAGTGCACACTTTGGGAGGCTGAGGCAGGCAGATGAGGTCAGGAGATCGAGATTATCCTGGCCAACATGGTGAAACCCCGTCTCTATTAAAAATATTAAAAAATTTAGCTGAGGATGGTGATGGGTGCCTGTAATTTCAGCTACCCAGTAGGCTGAGGCATGAGAATCGCTTGAATCCAGGAGGTAGAGGTTGCAGTGAGCCAAGGTCGCACCAGCCTGTCCACAGCAAGACTCCGTCTCAAAAAGTAAAAATTGTGCCAAGTACAATACACATAAGGATTACAATAAAAAAGAGAATGTGTATGCCAGAATGAAAAAAGGAACTTATTCTACTAGGGAGTCAACTAAGAGTATTATGAAGGTAATTAAACTGAGATTCTTCAGAGACTTGTGGCCAAGTAGCTTCTCATTTTTCCCAGATGAGTTTCTGCTTAACGGTAAGAGTTTACATATGCATAGCAGGAGGTGTCTGCCACCGTACCTGCACTTGCTTGCTCAGATAATAATCGAAATCAGTGCAGCTGTCCAGTACAGCTTTAGCCACTGAGTCCAGCTTTTTGTTGAGCTGTGCTGGAGGCAGCAGTTTTATCAGCAATATTTCCTGATAGGCCAGATATGCTGGCAGTCCTCCCAAGTAAATGCAAACAAATGCTGACTGAGTCCACTGGAGTATTAAAGCACTGCATAAATCAGTCACAGTGAGTATCTCACTTCCAGCTGCCAAGAGAGGATGGGGCTTTGGTACTCCCAGATGTCTTGCGATCATAGTGTTGATGACAGCTCTCAAATCTTGTACAAACTGCCAGCCCTTCCCATTCAACTTCCTTGCAGGAAGGATTGGAGTATTGCATGCTAGTGCAAGGAATAATTAGACCCTTTTTAATATAGTCTTTTGTTTTGGATCTTATTCCTTCATTTGCTTCAGGCCTTAGAGGATATTGCCTGATACTGGGAAAGGATTAATCAGGTTTACCTCCATTTTAATGAAAGTGGCTGAATATATTTTACTAATGTCAGCGGAAGATTGTGACCCTGAGTGTTCTGGCAAAGCTTGCCCTAAGCCATCCTTGTCATTAATTAGTCCCAGTTTAGGAAAAAGTTGTTTGATCTGTATTTTTATCATTTCAGTAATTTCTCATTCTGTAGTTGTTCCATTTGCTCCTATTCCCACCTAAATCCATTTTTTCGTTTTGGGAGAAAGGAAGGCATGCATTGTGACGTTCCAACAAGAGATGTCTGGGAGGTGGGGTAATGAAGAAAGGAATGAGGAAAAGAATGCAGGCCCTGGGATTCTAAGGGCCTGGGCTTGTATCCAGTGACAGGCCGATTAGATAACCCTACCATTTGTACAGTTCTCTTACTTCAAGGAAGGGGACAATTGGAAGTGGTGGGGCTAAGGACAAAAAGAATAGCCCCAGTGTCTTTGAGGGCATGTGTCTGATCTTCATTTATGGAAATGTCCGTCTCTCCTAGGGCATTGGTAGAAACAGGAGAACCTCCCTTTTGTCCTCAGCAATCCTGTTCATCATGTGGGATCCTGTTTTTTCATTGGTCCTGCTGTGAACTTTTCTACAATCTTTTTGAAATGGCCAGGCTTTTTACAATAGAAGTAAACAGCCCTTTCATCATTAGAAGGAGGCCCTGTCTTTTCTTAAAAGGCCTTGTTTGGTTAGTTGTTCTTATAGTTGCAGATTCATAATCTTTGAGGCCGTAGTTTTTTTCTTTCTGAATCGTTTTAGGAAGTTGATCTGTATAGCTTAATAATTCGTGGGTTTGTATATTCACCCAGTTAAGCTGGCATATCTTTTGACTTTGTTAACCAAACCCTGACTTAAGCCATTGAGGAAAGTAGAATTTATAAGGAGTCATTCTAATGATCTTAAAGGCTAACATTATGCATTCCAGAATATTTTTTAAATGTTTTTCCAGACTCTTGAAAACATTTAAGCACAGATTTGTCTGGACTTTTAGTGCATTGTTGAATTCTCCTCCAATCTTTTTTTTCCGGAAAGAATCTGGGGTAAGCCCTCAGGAAGAGCCTTGGCTGAAGTCCTTGTTCAAGAAAGGGGGGCTTTGGAATTGACTGGGAAGGTGGAGCACCAAAGCCCTACCCATCAGCTCTCACACTTTGGTTTGTTGGGTGAATCTCACTGTCCTCTGGGAATTATGTGCTTGTTTCCTCCCACCCAAGGCCGTCACCTGCTTGGAGCCTTTTGTTGTTGTTGTTTTGTTTGAGATGGAGTCTTGCTTTGTCACCCAGGCTGGGATGCAGTGGTGTGATCTCCGCTCACTGCAGCCTCAGCCTCCTGAGTAGCTGGGATTACAGGTGTCCACCACCACACCTGGCTAATTTTTGTATTTTTAGTAGAGACAGGGTTTCGCCATGTTGGCCAGTCTGGTCTCAAACTTCTGACCTCAAGTGGTCTCTCCACCTCAGCCTCCCAAAGTGCTGGAATTGCAGGGGGGAGCCACCATACCCAGCTTTGGGGCCTCTCTTCCATGCTCTCCAGCAAGCACTGAATAATCCATGCGCTTCATTTTAGGGAATCTTTGTTTGGGTGAAGTAAACCTCTCTGTCCTTAAATTTTGGATTCACTCACCCATTGTCATCACCTTTGCTGTCTCTGATGCAGATTTTTAAAGAAAACATTCAGGTTTATTTTAATACCGCAATGTGGCAGGACAGCAGATAGCAGGCAGCAGGCAGTTGGTGAGAACTCAGCTTCTACAGGCAGGAATGGAGTGGGAGAGGCCCTCACTGGTCCAGTATTTGGGAGGATTCTGTGCTTGGTCCCCATAAGCTGCAAAATGTGTTCAGTATTATTGGACTAGGTTTGCGGACAGGGAGTTCCCAGGGTTTTTGAGGTTAAGATTTCCTCTTGGCACAGCTGTGGGTTGATAAAGCAGATGTCAGAGCCCCAAAAGTAGCTAATTTGGAGAATGTCCATTTGGAAACAGTGGAGAGGTGGGTGCAGCCAGAAGCAGAAGTTACTTTCTGCAAGGTTAACCAACGAAGGCTTGTACAGCAGAAAATACACCCTGCTGATGATATTTAAAGAAACATCTGCCTCCTGCAGGATTGCAGGGGGCATCGCAAGTCTTACATTACTGGTTTGTTTTTATGATTTCATAGACAAAAATTATTTTTAAAAATCTGACAATACCAAATGTTAACCAGGATGTAGAGAAACAAGAACTTTCATATATTGCTGGTGGTAGTGTAAAGCGGTACAGCCTTTTTGAAGAACTTCTTGCAAGTTTCTCGGGAAGGTAAACACATGACCCAGTAATTCCCGTCTTAAGTATTTCTCAAGATAAATGAAAACATATATCCATAAAATGATGTTTCTGATTTGCCTTATTCATAATGGTCAAAAGTCTAAACACAAAGTCCATGAACAAGAGAATGGATAAACAAA